ACTTTTGACAACGGAGTGGCATTAACAGGCACATGCATATTCTGAAAGGGATGGAAATGACCTTTCTGCAAAACAATTATATATATATATAAAATCTCAAGGTCTTTTATGTTTGCTCTGCTTATATCTGAATGGCCATTCAGTACTCAGCCTATGATAATCCAGGCCCTTCTCCACACAAAGGTGACCTTCTTGAGAAGAGAGACTTTGAACAGTTAATTACTTCCACAAGTAGTCAGATGACAATAACTGTGTTAAGTGTTACTAAGAAATATGTGTTGTAAGATAATTTACTAGTCAAACCTGATTAGGGGGTGGTGGGAGAAGGAGCAGTGGTCAGAAAAGATCTAAAAGAAAAGGAATTAACTGGACAAAACAGGGTGTAGGAAGTGGGGAAAGAGAGAAGAGCAACTAGACTACACATATAAAGATTCTGAAGAACGAGGAAGCAAGCCTCTGGAAATACCAAAGCTGAAAACATGTTTGCTTGGCCTGAGCTCAGAGAGAGATTAAGTTGATGAAGAGCCTTCTAACCACAACAAAGAGTTTGTTCTTCAGCCTAAGGACCACAGCAAATCATTTAAGAACTTTAAGCGAGAAAATTAAGATGCATTTTGCTTTTTTTAAAAAAAAGTCTCTGGTCTGGTGATGGCACATGGGTGACTTGGTGATGGTAAACCCGTGGGGATTACAATTGAGATGGAAAAAAAAATGTACAAAATGATTTAAAAATAAACTTTTGTAATTAAAAAAATAAATATATAAAAAAAATGAAAAAAAAAAGTCTCTGGTCTCAGCATGAAAATGACCTAAGTGGGGATGGCAGGTGGTTCAGAGCGACTCAGGAAGAGGCTACTGCTCCTCTGAGGTGAGAGAGGGCAGGGTAACCCCAGGGAGAGAGAAGCAGGTAGATGTTAGAGATTTAGAATGTAAGTCATCAAGTCACCAGACACCACTTTAGAAAGTTACTCAGAATGACTCAGAGGTTTCTGGTGTAAGAAGCTTTACGGAGTACAATGTTACTAATGATAGTGTTTCCTACCCTTACTTTGACCAAGCCATTCTCTTTTGAGGCAGCTATCCTAGTGAAATAGTGAGAACATTTCTAAGCTAGATAAAAGTCAAAGATATTGACTACTATCTAACAGTGTAATTTCAAAACTTCTCAGCAATCTCAATAATAAAAATAGGAGAATTTAAAAAACAAATTGGTAGTGTTATATAATGGAATTATATACAGTTGTTTAAAAGTCACATTTAATGTTAAAAGAAGCAGATCAGATTTCTCATAGTTTTGATAAGGAAACAAATAAGCTAGGTAAAATAAAAATAAACTTATATTAATTGGTAAATAAAATAAAGATAAACTTATACTAATTGGTAAGACTGATTAGGGGATGGAGGAGTAAGTAAATCCAGTAAAATGGGTCAACTGCATGGGGATGGATGGGATTAGACTTTTAATGCGGAATTTTTATCTACTGATTTACAATGATGCACACCTGAAACTTCAAAGTTACTTCAATAAGAAGTCTTTAAGTAATATTATTTTAAAAAGCAGCTGTTAAAATCATTATATTATTTTTAAAACACAAAAATGCCAGCAGAAACATGTCAAAGTATAACTACTGGTTATCTCTTGCTAGTAAAACCTAAGTGTTAAGTTCTTTTTGAATATTCCCATTTTTTCAATTTTCTCCACAATAAAGAAATTATGCTTATATTTTTAAATTACTTCTATTTTCAAATAACACTTCCTGAGCATTTATTATGTGCTATGCATTAATCTAAATGCCTGATGTATATAAACACATGTAATCTTAAAAACATTGCTAAGCGGCCCTCCCTAGTGGCACAGCGGGTTAAAGCACAGTACTAAGAAGCTAAAGCCACTTCGGCATGAGTTTGATCCCCGCCTGCCCCAGAAGTGACAACATGGCGCAGCAGACCTCTCCTGACCAGCCCGCTGCTCCCCTCAGCAGTGTACTTCATCCATCTGCCTGTTCTGCTCCCCACCCTGTCTCTGGTGAAGCCTCTCGCTGCCCCTGAGCTTCTGGCCTGTACCCCAGTTCTGTATGCACAAATAAATAAATCTTTAAAAAAAAAAACATTTCTAAGCTAGATAAAAGTTAAGTGACTTGCTCAAGATCACACAGTAAGTTAAAATTTGAACCTATGCAAGCTGACTCCAGAGTCAGTTCTCTTATACTACTACCCTATACTCAAAGATATAACCTTATATTCAAAGATATAACCTTAAAAAAATAAACCATTAAAACAGCCCACAGGACAGGTGAAAATATTTGCAAGTCATATATATGATCTACTGATAGTATCTAAATCCACAAAAAGAAGCCCACACTAAAAAAGACATCTTAATTAGAAAATGGGTAAAGGATTGGACATTTCTCCAAAGAAACCAGACAAATGGTCAGTAAGTGCATGAAGAAATGTTCAGCAATAATCAATCATTAGTGAGATACATATCAACAACACAATGAGGTGACACTTCACACCAATCAGGACAGTTAGAATGTAAAATGAGGTAAGTGTTAGCAAGCATATAAAGAAACCGGAAGCCACATTCACTGGGGTAGGAGTGTGAAATGGCTCAGCTACTTTGGAAAAAAGCTGGCAGGTCCTCAAAAGGTTAAAGAATGATGATATGAATAGGCAATTCCCATTCTAGGTGCACACAGAAGAGAAATGAAAATGTATGTCCACACGAAAATTTGTATATGAATACTCCTAATAACCAAAACATGGAAACAATTCAAATATTCATCAACTAATGAATAGATAAACAAAATGTCACAAACCCACATAATGGAACACTATTTAGCAATAAAAGGAAACATGCTACATACACAAAATGAGTCTCAAAAATATGCTACATGAAATTAGAAAGGAAAGGCCACATATTACAAGATTTCATTTATGTGATAGTCTCAGAACAGGTAAATCTCTGAAAACAGAAAGTAGATTAGTGGTTGCTGGGAGTTGGGTGTAGGTAAACCAGACAGTGAGTGCTAAGAGTATGGGCACCCTCATGAAATTAGAGAGTAGTGATGGTTGCCCAATGGTGTGTTTATACCAAAACCACTGACTTCTATACTTTAAAATAGTGGATTTTATCTGAATTTTTAAAAAGCGCCATCTTCAGAAAAACTTGGAGCAGTTGCTCACAACTTTCTTTTATTCCTAGATATCAATTTGAAAGTATCAAACTATTATGTCTCATAATATAGCATAATGATAGAACCATTCTAAGAGGGTCCGAAAAAAATTAAGAGAATTAATATGTACAAAGTACTCTAGACAGTGCTTAACACAACGGCTCTCAATACTCGAACAGTGCTTAACACAATGGTTCTCAATAACAGTCATTAGTAGTACTACTTGGAATCTAACCAGGATGTGAAAAATTTCTAACTAGTGTTTCTCTCCAAATCAATGTCTAGCAGACACTTCAATGAGGGGGAGATTTGACTAAAATCAAGGGGAAAAAAAGCACAAACTGCTTTTGTGCTATGGCTGTTATTGGCCTTGTATTTAATTGTAAAATATAATAAACATTTTGACTTGTAATTAGAATGAGATACCAAAGAACTTCGGGTATTTTAAATCTGTTCCACCTGTCACGGGAATACAAAGGGGGATGTAGGGATCCACACTGAGTAATTACATGAGAAGTAATAGGAGATCAGTGTGACTTGCAGAAGCTAGAAGGGAAGCTGGATGATTTTATAGTTCCTTGAGTTATTAATAGATATTTATAGAATCACTTCACACATGTGAATTTCAACTCCTCTCTTCGGGGAACACTAAAACTTTACCATCATATTTAAACAGTAAAGATTGTCAAAATTGAATCTCTCTGCATTATAAACACTATAAACAAATTGCATATGGGACTTGAAAGGGGAAAAGTCAATAAAATAAAGTGAAATAAAATAAATTGATAGCAAACTGTAGGACTCAGGAAAAAAAAACACTGAATGGGTCCTCCCTGGTGGTGCAAGTAGTTAAGTCTCAGCACTAAGAAGCCAGCAGCAGCTACTGCAGCAGGACTTTTATCTCAGGTCAGAGAGGTGATCCACGTGGCACAGCAGACCTCTCTTGTCTTTCCCACTGCTCTTTTCAGGAGTGTATTTCAGTCTGTATGCCTGTTCTATTTCCCACTCTGTCTCTGATGAATCCTCTCACCACCAATCCATCTCTAACCTAACTCCCAACTCTTGTGTGCATATGTAAAAAGAAATCTTTAAATTAAAAAGCAAAAACACTGAATTTCTGGAATACCAAGCTTACCCGTATTTAAACAGAAGTTAAACACATCCATGACAACTCCGAACTCTAGCTTAGAAACACCAGTGTTTCTTTAGTTTAGGTGAACTAATTTTAGAATTATAGTAATTGCTTTATCTGACTAGGTGCTAACACTGAAATGCCTTCAAGAAGAAGGAACTAGCAAAGCTCACTAGAGGATGAAAAAAACAACTGATATGTGTCACTACCATGCCACTTCCCCTCTCCCGACATGTGTTTCACTTTTATGCAATATAAGATGTAAGAGATGTCAGGCAGAAATAAAATTCCAATGGTGACCAAGCACTACAAAAATGCCTGATGTGGCAAATAAAAAAATATACTTTCCATGAGTCAAAAGTGAGAGGTACTATTTAATAGATGAGTTCTGATCCTTTTCAGTCATATAAGAACATAGATAATTGCACATTAGTAAACATTTATTATGCCTCAGTGTTCAATAAGATATAAACAAGCACATTTTAGATGGGGTTGTAAATGATAGGTTCCTTACCCTAAAAAAAAAAAAGTTTTAAGAAAAATTAGCCTTCTAAAACTTCCAGTAGGATTTTCCTATCTGAAAATGATTAAAAATACTCAAAATAAAGAGTCCTCTAGAGACAGAGAAAAACTGCTAAGAGTATGGAATGCTAGTGAAGATATACTATGATGATAATGACTTACAGTCCTACCTGTGTCTGAGCTTTTCACCCCCATCCTGAATCGTATCTGCTTGCCATGAAGGACCTCAGAAAGGTGTTTAGCAGTCCAGTGCCGCGCTGGCCAATCAAAAACCATCTTACAGAAGACAGCAGGATGTTGTAAAGACATAATAATTTCTTTTGCTTTCTCTGGTGTAAAGGATTTGACATGTTCACCTAAGGAAATAAATAATAAATAGAGAATGACAAATAACTGGAAGTAATTTCATGTGATATGAACATTAAAGAACTAATATATTGCTGTGAAGGGCATGAGTTCACCATTTTTGATTGCTGATTAATATTACGTTGTGTAAATATACCCCATCTTCTTGATCCTGTCATCTGTTTTTGGGCATTTGGGTTTCTTCTGTAGCTTAACTATTGTAAATTGTGCTGCAATTACAATAGGGGTGCAGGTGTCCTTTTGAATTAATGTTTTTGTGTCCTTTGTGAAGATTCCTAGGAGTGGAATTAGTGGATCATATGGAAGCTCCACTTTCAGAAATCTGAGGAACCTCCACACAGCTTTCCATAGTGGTTGTACCTATCTGCATTCCCACCAGCAGTGTAGGAGGGTTCCTTTTTCTCCACATTCTTGCCAATGTTTGTTGTTGCTTGTTGAGAATGTGCCATTTTCACTGGTGTAAGATGGTATCTTAGTATAGTTTTTATTTGCATTTCCCTGATTACAAGTAATGTTGAACATTTTTTTCATATCAGGGATTATGCTCAGTGAAATAAGCCAGAAAGAAAAAGAAAATGAATGAATGCTCTCATTTATAGGAAGAATGTAGTGAAAACAAATTTTTAAAAAAGTAACTATAATAAAGTAAGAATCAAATCATCAGGCAACTGTAGATCAGAGACATTCTGTAGGGGAGGAGAAGAGAGAAAGATCAGGACAACAGTGGGAAGAGCACAAGGGACAATGGTGATGGTACATGGGTGACGTGGTGGTGGGAAGTCCACGGGGATTACAACTGAGATAAAAAAAAATACAAAACGAAGAATAATTTTAAAATGTACATATAAAATAATAAAAAATTATCTCCCTAGGATACATAAGCAATTGAGTTATAAAGGCAGGAAATATGGTCAGATAGTAGGAAGTTATAATAATTGTTTCTTCTGCTGAGAATGGCCATTTCTTCCTCTAGGCAAATATGTCTATTTGATCTCTAACCACGCCCATCCTGTGCTTTTCTCTACCCATCTAACTGACCATCCCACTCCTTCCCCCCAGCACCACCACTGGAGTTGTCACTATCTCCTCCAGCTAACTGCCTACCTCAGCCTATTCTCTCCCTGGAGCACTTGCGTTTTCGCCTCTGGAATCCTCCTGTGACAGCCCTCACAAGTGTGTACTACTGAGTATGCACCTTACTACCTATTCCCATTGTTTTTCCTTCTAGATTTCGTTACTCACTGGGGCAAAACACTCAGAAGTGTCTGGATCACGTGGCAGTAGTGAGACTATTGTGAGGCACGGAGCAATCACACACAGGAATCTCGGATTCATAAAGCCTCCAAACGCCACCGGTTCTCTAAAGCAGGGTTTCACCAAAATAAAACAAAAGCTAGCAATCACTGTTCACAAAAGTCTCTTAATATCTCCGTTTACCTCATGGAAGGACCTCAGTATCACAAATTTAATTTAAACCATTCTACCTCTCAAAAACACCCTCAAGCGTGACACAGCACTGCCAGAATCTGCACAAAGATTAAAAATTCGGATGCCACATTTGGACGCAAGGTCAGAAGATTCTAGACAGGAGGAAGACCAAACCGGTACATCAGCGGTGCCAAGAGAGTCAGGTGGCACCGGACTGTACTCGCGGTCTGATCTCAGCCTGGCACCTACCTCTCTCCTTTTCAGTTCCCGTCACAGGGGCAAAAACAGTGGCCAAACCCCGGCCTGCTGCCATGGTTAGCACCACGCGGGCTACGCCCGAAACCGAACAGGGCGACCGGTGCTGGGTGCCAACTAGTACCAATTCGGGATCGGAAGTTGAACTAGAGGTAGAGACCGAGCCGTAGTTCCCAGGCTCCCCCGGAAGCGTCGGTCATGTGACAGTCATGTGACTGACAAGCACTGGGCGGGGCCACGCAGGTTTGTTTTGATTCCCAGATTGTTGAAATGTGAGCGTCTGGTTCGGTTGTAGCGATTTTTCCTCTCCCAGACCATCGTAATGCTGATTTCGTTTCGGCTTCTCCTCGTTTCCCAGTCAGGTTCTTTTTTCTGCCTTATCGCTCTTCATCCAGCAGTACTGACCTTTTGAAGAATGGTTTGTTTTTTTGTGAGGCTAGAGGCAGTGGTTTGTAGTTCTGTGCGCTTACTCTGCAGCCATTATCAATCTTCCATACGAGGAGAAATCACACTTCTCATTCACTTCCTTGCTCTTCCGAAGGTTGGTTTTCATGGCTGCCGGGGAACATGAACCTCTGGCAAATGTCCTTTATTTGCGTTCTCCGTGACTCATTTCCCAATCCAGGCAAAGAAATCGCTCGACTTAGGTCTTCAAGGACACTGACCGACAGCTGTCAGACTTCTGGACTAGTATACCCAAGTAAACAACCGGCTCTTTGATCAAGAGATCAACAACCCCAGCCCTTACCCGCATTTAGGCTTCATTGGGAGATGGATCTAGGTCATTCCGAAGCAAAAAAAACCTTCCGTCCTTGACATATGCTTTTGCTTGTCTATTAAGTAACAACGCAAAATGTGTAGGTAGAAAGCTTTGTATAACATCCATATGTATAGATAGACAGATAGATATTGAGCTAGTTTATAATTCGTTGGGCAGAACGCAAAAAGACACTTGTTAAAACCAGGCAGCACTTGCTCTACGTAAAATTAATTCTTTTCATGCACCAAAATTCTCTGGGTCCCGCCCACACCTCAATCTTACCGCCCTATTATTTCTGAAATTATAAACACAACAAAACTAAGAATAAACCCAATACAGAAACAAGCATTAGCTTAAGTGACCGGAGGTCACCGAGTTGTTTATTAAGCACGTGAAGTAAACTTGGTCACTTCCTCCAGCGATCCGAGTTCCTTGCCCACCATCTAATACAGCCTTTCTTGGAGTTTCTTTTCCCCAGGCTCGGCCCGCTTGGCCCTTCCTTTTCAAGTCCCCTTTTGCTCCCCCTGGAAGCCGGGCTTCACTCCCTCTCCCGCCTGTATAGCCTCCACTAACCCACCGACAGCGGGGAAGGTGAGTGTCTCCGGCTGCCCAGCCGGGGTCCTCCCCCCACCCCAGCCTCCTCCAGCTGGCCAGAATGGCCCCTCCTCCCCGCCCGGAGCTGGCCCGCACCGCGCAGGCGCACTAGCGCGGCCGAGAGGCCGAGGGCACCGGAGCAGACTCGGCCTCAGCCGCCTCCCGCCGCGCCCGCTCGGGGCTGGACTGCAGCCCCCGGGACCGCGCTGGGCCGGGGCCCCGCGGATCTCTCGTCGCTATGGGCTCGGGCTGGAGCAGTGAGGAGGAGCGGCAACCGCTGCTGGGGTCGGGGCTTGGACCTGCGCCGCCGGCTCCCTGGAGAAGCCGGGAGGCAGCGGCGGCGGCGGCGCCAGCGGCCGCCCCGGGTCTCGGGCGGGTGTACGGGCGCCGCTGGCTGGTGCTGCTGCTCTTCTCGCTGCTGGGCTTCGCGCAGGGCCTGGTCTGGAACACCTGGGGTCCCATCCAGAACTCGGCGCGCCAGGCCTACGGCTTCTCCAGCTGGGACATCGCTCTGCTGGTGCTGTGGGGACCCATCGGCTTCCTGCCCTGCTTTGCGTTTATGTGGCTGCTGGACAAGAGAGGTGAGGGGCTCCGGGGAGCGTCGGGTCGCGCCGTCACTCGGGGGACCCTGAGCCCCACCGGGTCTCCAGGTCAGCAAGCCGCCTCCCTTGGCTTCGTCGTAGGGGTTGTGTGAGGTGACGGAGTGTTGCTGGCGTCCCATTCCCGACTGGGAATCCGCTGTCCCCAACGCGACAAACAAGGGAAGGAATCTTTGCAGATATTTATGTTTTTATCGAGGCCTGTTATGCAACAGTTGAGATGAAGCGCTCTCTAAAATGTTCACGTTTTGCCTGTTGTGGGCATAAAAGTGTCGCTGTGCACGTGCTGTGTATGTTTCTTACACCTGACGTAAACGACTGAGGCTTTGACTTCGTAAGAATTTAGGGATGTTGACAGTGGAAGGTCTGTAAGTCCATTGATAGTGCCCAGACATAAGGAAGGAATGAGTTGGCTTTGCAAAATAGATGACTTCAGTCCAAGCAGAGCTATTGGGAAATTCGAGTCTAACACTCTGGTTTCTGAAAGATGGTGCATAGCAACTTTGAAGTGTATATATGTGTCTAGGTGCCTGTGTCAGATGAGTTTTATGACTCTCAGATAAAGCTTGCAGATAAATGAAGACTCTTCATTGAGGAATACTTTGAATCGACATCTCACTTAATCTGAGGAAGGGTGGAGTGGGAGGGGTGGAAGTGGTGGCGAGGAGAAGATTTAGGATTGAATGGAAAGTCATTGGATTATACCAGATATGGGTAAATGATTCATGATCAAGGCAATGTAACTGCTAAAAAAAAACAGCAACAGTTTTTCACATAGACCATAGTACTTAAAACAAGAAGAGAAATAACTTGATAATGCTCTACACTGAAGTTCGGTTCTGATTGCTCTTCACTTAAAGAAGACAGTGAACAAACTAAAATACTTTAACAGTTGTGTGACACGAATAATATTAAGGATGTAAAAACCATAATGTGTAAGATAAAAGGAATTGGGTGTGTCAGACTTCAAAAAGAAACTTGAGGCACATTATAAAATACATTATGATCAAATAAAAGAGGAACTAGTCTTAATGTGTACAGTTCCAGAAGGGAAGAACTAAACTGAATGAAGTGAGAAAGGGATGTAACTCAAAACAATATAAGGAAGAACCTTCTAACAATGAGAGGTATCCAGCCCTGGAAGGTATGTTTTGACTGGTATAAAAATTTCAGGTAGGGGGCCTCCCTGGTGGCCTAGGGGTTAGTCTCAGTGCTGACCCACTGAGGACACAGCAGACCTCTACGTCTCACCGGCTGTACCCCTTAGCAGTGTATTTCAGTAAATCCCCCTACTCTGCTCCTCATCCTGTCTCTGGTGAATTCTCTCAGTCCCTGCATCCCTGATCTACACCTCTGTTCTTCTATACAAAAATAAATTAAATCTTACTTAAAAAAAAAAAAAGAAAGAAAGAAATTCTAGGAAGACCAAGTACTTATGCAGAGAATGTGTGCTCCTCTTCAAGGAAGAGTTTCTTATGCTGAGTAGAGGTTGTCTTTGTTTGGATTGTTTTGTTTATTCTGAAACTAGAAACTTCATTTTGGATTGCACCAAGTTTTCTAAATGTTTAATCCCATTCTCCCTCCTCCCTCCACCACCACCCACCCATTCCAGATTCAGCCTAGGGGCCCAAATTGCATTTATTGTACTTTTTCCTTTATGTTCTATCTGTGACACTTTCTTGGTCATTCTTTATTTACAAGGCTAGCTAAATTGGAGGGAGATTTTTTTGTCTTTTTGTTTTTATCAGGAACATATTTCAGTATTACTAAAGTTACTCAACCTTGTGTGTATGGTAGAGGTATGTTAATTTTGCCCCTTTTATTTAATTGTGTCTACTATCCATGGCCATATAAACTAGGGGCCACCTAAATTGCTTTATGAGATGAATTGGTTCTTTCATAGTTCCTGTGACTGTACAGTAATGCAATTTTATATTTTCCATTGAAGCAATACAAATAAATTTTAAAGTTCTCCCTTTTAGTAAGACAGTTTCATGTGTTAGCTCTCTTGCTGCAGATTTCCTATTAATAAACATAGAAAGTAAGTTCCTGTCACCCTTGTGCACCGAAGTATCTTGTTCCCCAGAGGGTAGGTTGGTGACCTTTCTGCTGCCATGGGTCCCAGCCAGCTCAGCAGAGAAGACCAATTATCTTAAGATGGGTTTTGTACCTTCTTTACCCCTTTTTATTTTCAAGTGAGGAGACCAAAAGGGACTAGTTAGTAAATGAAGAGATCCAAAAGCAAGTGTGCCTCAGAAGTCAAATAAAGAAAATTTTAAGAAAAAAAGAACACCTAAAGCTGTGCTAAGCACTGAGGAGATGTAGTCTCCGAGCACCAACATTCTAGTGAGGAAATACTGGCAGCAAACAATTCAGTATGTAGTATGTCAGATGGTGATAAGTGCTTTGGAGAAAAATAAAACAGGGCAAGGGAGAATGGGGATGTGAATGGGTGGTATTTTGTTTTATATACCCTATCATTGATTAGGTATGTTTCAGCAGAGACCTGAAGGAAAAAGGATGGGACCTTCCTTTTTTCCAGCAATGAAGAACAAGACTGTTTCTGGCAAAGACAAGTGTTCTTAACTTGCTTGGCACATCTACCATAGAGTAAACTGGGGCTTGTGTGGCGGGAATAGAGCCACGAGGAAACAGCAGTCTCATACGATGTTTGCCATTAAAGACTCAATTTATTGCAAGTCTTGAGTAAAAGAGTGAAAAATACTCTGCCATTGTCTAGAGAATAAGAGCCTGAAGCTGGAGACGAGTTAGGAGGTGAGTGGAATAACTCTGATGAGACTGGTGATGATGATGCTGTCTTCCAACCAGTGTAATCATAGTGTGGGATTTGAACAATGTTTAGACTTCAGGTATCTATTGGAAGTAGACTCCCCAATAATTGCTGATGGGTGGGATGTGAGGTGTACAGGAAAGTAAGGAGTCTAAGATGTTTCTCAAATATTTAGCTTAAGTAATTGAAAGGATTACTGAAATGTAGAAGATTCTGTAAAGAACAATTTGGAGACAGGTGGCATAAAGATCAGGGGTTTGAAACGCCTATTAGATATCTAAGTAAACAGATTAAACTGGCAGTCAGGTTTACATATCAAGAATTCAGAGGAGAGGCCTGAGCAGTAAGTTTAGGGCTTATGAGGCTGTAATGGTATTTGTGTCATGGGGCTGAGTGAGATCACTTGTCTCTATGGAAGTAGGAAAGCATTGCTTGAGAGAAGACTAAGCCTGGGGGCATTCCAGTTTTACTAGCCAGTAAGGACTGAGAATAGAACCTTCAATTTAGTGACGTGGGGGCTCTTTGGTGTCCTTTAACAAAAGTTTCACTAGAGTGGTTTGGCTGAGTTCAAAATAAAATGTAGGAAGACAAGGAGTGAAGCTATTTCTTTAACTATTTCAGTTATGCTGTGAAGGTCAGCAGAGAAATGGAGACACTAGCCAAAGGAAAAAGCAGAGAGGTTAAAGCAAATCTTTAATGCTGTATTCCAGTGGATCCAGTAGAAGGGAAAATTGACATGCTGGAGGGAGATGGAAAAATTACTGTAGCCATGTTCTCCAGTAAGCAAGATTGGATGTAGTCCTCAGAGCCTAAGTAAACTGGATGGCCTTAGGTCAGTGTGTTGCCAGCTAATTCTTCAGTAGTAACAGAAGAGAAGATAGAATGAAGATGCAGATGGTGGGTGGTAGCAACTTTTAGAATTGTGGAAGTTGTCTTTGTTTATAGTTCTTAGAAAACAGGAAACAAAAATATTACCTGACAAGTGTGGATAGAGGAGCAAGAATTGGAAGAGTGAGAGAAAAAGTATATACAGTAAGCAACTATTTCTTAGGAAATTGGAAGAGGCATGAACTAGGAAATTATAGTAGGGTTGTTGGGCAACACGAAGAGCCTGTTTAAGTGTTAAGGTGTTAATTTCAAGAGAGACCAGTCGTCTGGTTTCCTCCACCCTGTTCTGTGAGGCAAGAGCAGACAGGGTGAAGAGAGATTTAACCAAAGTTGTGGTTTGCCAGATGAGTAGAAATAAGAAAGTGTAGGTAGAATGGAATGGGGGAAGATATTTGCAAATCATGTATTAGAACCAGGAAAATGAAATGCAAGCATAGACATAGACAGGCAGTTTTGAAAGGCAAGAAATGCTTCTTTCTAGGGCAGAGGGTGTTTTTATATACACAGCTTACACAACTAAACAACAAGAAATCATATAATCAGAGTTAAAAATGGGCAGAGGATCTAAAAAGACATTTCATGGTGTCATTCCAAGTTGATAAATAAATGGCCAAGAGACATATAAAAAGATATTCTGCATTGCGTATCATTAGAGAAATGCAAATCAAAATCACAATGAAATTTCACCTCATTATCAGTTAGAATGGTTAATATCAAGAAGTCAAGAAACCTTCATTCTAGGTGAGAATATGGCAAAAAATTATAGACTGGGACTTCAAAACAGTTAATATAAATATATTGTATATGTTTAAGAAGACAGAAGAAAGCTTGAGCATGGTAAAGATAGACACATAATATACTAACTGTAACAGTGCTAAACTTCTGCATATGAAAATGTCCAAGATAAAAACCAAAAAACCCAAACTAGGCAGTATTTAGGAGCAAATGAGACTTTGCAGAAGGCGAGGCTTCAGTAAGCTTACTGCTGTGTCTTACTTTGAAGACATAGCAATGGATATTAACTGAGGGGGTTCATGTGATGGGGTTTGATGCACAGGGCTCTTGGGTGCCTCTAAGAAAGAACTCAGCAGACATTCCATTCATCAGCAAATGATAAGTTTATTGAGGAAAGGCAAAAAGGAAAGAGATGTCTTTGTAGACACAGATGGTAGTCTTAAAAGGCAAAAGCTACTTTTTGCCAGGGCAAGGATGTTTTTTTATAATTGTTCTTTGGTGGAATTATTGTGGAAGTTATTGCCTTGGTGTCACATTGGATTGGCTTTCTAAAATGGATAATACTCTCTGCCCTTACCTCTTTCCTCTCACCTCAGAGTCCTGGAAACTTCCATAGCTTCCATAGACTCATTCGTCACTCTAAAACCCCACATTTGTCCTTGTGAGATCTACCATCTTAAATTTTTCTCTAAGTTTCCATCTCTATCTAAAGTGGAATACAGACTAAGGAAGACTGAAAGCAAAAATCCCATAACAATCAGTGGATGACAGGATAATTTTAAGTGGCTGGGTATATGTGTAATAAAGAATTCCGGAAGGACAACAGAGGAAAAGGGGATAGGGCATAGATTGAGATAAGGTGGGGCAAAAAAATTTTTTTTAATAGTGTGAGAAAATTTTCCAAATTTCAGCTCTAAATTTTCAAATTTGAGCTCTAAATTTATTTCCAAATTTGAGCTCTAATGAATTTCCAAATTTTAGCCCCACAGATAAAAGAAACTTAAGAACCCCAGTAGAATAATGTGAAGAAAACTACAGCAAGGCACATCAAGTCATTTTTGCTTGCAACCAAAGAGTATCTTAAAAGCATTGAAAGCAAGGAGATTGGGGATCTTTAGGGAGGAGAAAGTAGCAATGACCTGTAAGTGGATGGGTAAGTATTATCCGTATGGAAGAGGTTTCAGTGGGAGGAAAAAGCTGAAGAGAATGTTCAGGGAAGAACTTTGAGGACTTGCAGTGATTAGGAGCACTCCAGAAGGCACAGTAGAAATATTTCAGGAGTTGGGGAGGTAGCAAGATGTGAGATTAGTAGATGCCTGAAGTCATTCTGTTAAGGATGACCTGTGAAATCTTGGATTCTTGGAATGTGAACATGAAAAGCAGGCACAGTTTTAGTCCTTTTAGTCTCCAAGGCAGGTTAGGGTGGCAAGGCTGGGATTACTGGAAATAAGGAAATGGGAGTCCTGGCAAGGTCGTCTTCCTTCCAGCTAATGGGAGTGAGACTGGGAAAGGCAGTTATACAGATAAACTGGCTTCCCAAGCATCCACTGTAAGTGTGTGTATGGTTGGATTTTGTTTTTTGTTTTTTTCTAGTCAACTTGGCATCTTGAATTTTTAAGTACCATTTGTGGAGGATCCATTCCTATACACAGGAAGTTCCCATTGTCTCATCCATTGGAAGGAAGCTTCCTACAGTGTCTGGTTGCTATACTTGAACAGAATTTATTTTTATTTTCAATCATATTTGATTTTCCAAAATAGTGCTAATGGTTCTGCACTCACATCCTAGCACTCTCATTACCTGGAATCTATTTGTATAAAGATCCTAAAATGTCCTGTTTTCCTGGGATCCTTATACCTCTCTTTCCCAAAGTCAATTGAGAATCTTTTTGATGAAACTGTAGAGAACTGTCTTGTGAGTATTCAAGTGAGGTAAAGGAAGCATCTGAGTAGACTAAGCAATGCTTGGCAGCACTTTAACATAAGCAAGAAAGCCACAAGCTATACTTGTGAGGTGGTTTTAATAATCAGCTTTTCACAACTTACTTGTTCTTGAAAATTTATGCTAATTGTTTTATGGTTCATTATTTGATTAAAAATTAAAACTGAATAAAGAGGTATGGTAGCCTTCCACTTTAACAATCGGAAACTTGATTGGTTCCTATAGCCATAAACTGTTGTATCACTCATTTGGTGATTGCTTACCTTTATTACAAACCACATATTTAGGGGGAGAAAACATCATATAAAGTATAAGCCTTATTGTCCAATATAACCTTATATTAGCAACATTTTGCAAGTTTTGGGATATTTATAACCACAAACATACATTTAATCCATTGTTCTCTATTTCCTATGGCTATAAACTTTTTAAAATTTGTATTTTTCAGTGGAATCAGTAAATGAGAAGTATGTTTGCATTACTTGTTACCCAAAAGCACATTTTCTATGATATTCCTTCTGTCAAATTCTATTGATAATATTTTGATCATATAAGGATATTATAGAGTTGACTCAGTTCATGTCACAAATTATCTTCAGTGTGATGTGTGTGTGTGAGACCCTGATCCAGAAGTCGTGGATTTCACTGGCTATATTTAATCTGCATAATTATGTTTTTGTTGACTTTCATTTTCCTTCTAACAGAGATGTGCTTTGAAAACCAAACATATAACCGTCACCTCTTTGCTAAAAAAAGAAAAATGTACGCAAAACAGTTTAATTCTATCACTGGTTTCAAGGAAGTGTTGAGTTTGGGAGAAATTGGAGGAAATTTGCCACACCTTTGCCATATACTCAGCATGATGTGTATAGTGAAGCTGCCAGAATAGTTAGGCAGTTACAAAAGTGCATGTTCGGACAGGAAGTGCACGTTCGGACAGGAAGTGCACGTTCGGACAGGAAGCTGCAGTCCTATTTTATCATTCTGTTATGTTTATTATATTACAGTGTATTACACTATATTACATTATATTACTCTGCCATCGCTAGAATATTGTTTTAGGTTACCTTATTTTCATGTTCTCTCTTTTACTCTGTTATACATGTGACTGACCATTGCCACTCGTTTTCAAAATAAATGATCATATTTGGGATATAAAGGAAAAAGCTTTTTGATGCACATTACTTTATAAAATCCTAAGTGAGCCTTATTTTTTAAAACAGCCTCATTCTATAAGTTGAAATCCAGCTGATAAAAACAGAAAAATACAAATATTACCTTGTCCTAACTACAAAATAAGGTATATGATTGGTAAACTGTCATTTTTTTTAGAAGATTTAAAGCAATAATCTGTTACCATGAAAGACTTTTTAGTTTAGCGTTTTATTAGCAGCTTGCATTTAAACATTAGAAACATTATATTGGAGATGTAATACAAAAATAACTAGCCTTCAAAATTATTTCCTTTTTTTTTTCATTTTGAAAAGTCAGAGCTAATGGAATTTCCTCCCTCTCCTTGATGTGGTGAGTCAAGTTTTCTATTAAAGTTAGAATTATTTCATTTTCAGCATGTAGGGTTTCCCCTCATGTTGGAAGTTAGAGGAATATGATATCAGTATGATTGAGAGAAATAAATCTTTGTTCTTAATCATTGGGCTTAACTGAAGAGAAAACAGAAAATAACACCAATTTTTTATTTCCTTGTAGGTCTTCGGGTAACTGTGCTTTTGACTTCCTTCCTCATGGTTTTGGGAACCGGTCTAAGATGCATACCTATATCAGACTTAATGCTTAAAAGAAGGTAAATTTTATAAATTACTACAATTTCCCCCCATATTTTTGCTATGAGTACAGTTTTTTGGTTATAATTTTTTTTTTTTTGTAAACAGCTTCATTTTTAAAAACATTGTTAAATCGTCACATTTATAGAAGCATGTTGTCCTACCTAATGATTAGGTGATTTCTTATTGTCATTTGAAAGACTAGACTATACTAGTTGTTGTATAAATGAGATGAGATTAATTTAATCTTTATGTTGTCCAGAAGCTATAACAACTGTGGGAAAGTAATAGTATAACATAATGAAGTACAATGTAGTTAATACCATAGGTGCAGTATAAAATTGCCCAGAGAGAGCTAATCTTTGACAAAGATGCAAAGAAGATACAATGAACAAATTAAGTTTGTTCAGCAAATAGTTCTGGGAAAACTGGGAAGCTACATACAAAAAAATGAAACTAGATCACTACCTCACACCATGCATAAAAAAACAACTAGAAGTGCATTAAAGACCTAGACATAAGAACAGAAACCATAAAATACCTGGAAGCAAAGTTGGGCAAAACACTACATGACATACACCTCAGTTAACATCTTTGAAGATACAGCACCCAATGCAATGATAGTGAAGGAAAGGATAAACAGATGGGACTATAGCAAGTTGAAGAACTTCTGTACAGCAAAAGAGACTTTACAAAAAACAAAGATATTCCACTGACTGGGAAAAAATTTTCTCACACAAAACTAGCGATAAAGATATATATATCTTTGCAAAGATATACAAAGAACTGATGAAATTCAACAAAAATAAACAATCCTATCCAAAAAATGGGCAGAAGAGCTAAAACGGCATTTCTCCAAAGAGGAAATGCAGATGACCAACAAGTATATGAAAAAACATTCAACATCACTCGTAATAAGGGAGATGCAAATTACAACCACAATGAGATACCACCTCACCTCAGTGAGAATGGCACATCTTAAAACAACTAGCAACAACAAATGCTGGTGAGGATGTGGAGAAAAAGGAACTTTCCTGCACTGCTGGTGGGAATGCAAACTAGTACAACCACTGTGGAAAACTGTTTGGAGGTTCCTCAAACTGCTAAACATGGAGGTTCCATATGACCCAGCAATCCCACTCCTAGGCATCTACCCAAAAGATACAAAAACACTGATTCAAAAAGATACCTGCACCCCCATGTTTATTGCTGCTTTATTCACAATTGGAAAGACTTGGAATTAACCCAAAGACCCAAAAGTAGATGACTAGATTAAAAAGATGTGATACATATACACAATGGAATATTACTCAGCAAACAACAATAAAAAAAGCATGCCTTTTGCAGCAACATGGATGGAGCTGGAAGGGATCATGCTTAGTCAAATAAGCCAGAAAGAAAAGGAAAAAAACTGGATGGTTTAAAGGACCAGGGGAGAAAATAATAATAATAATGAACAGCTATATACTAGAGACATTTTATGGGAGTGGAGTGGGTGATGGGATCAAAAATTCCACTGGACTATAGTAAAGATACACGGGTCATTTGGTGATGGGAAGCCCATAGGGATTACAACTGAGATTGATAAAAGCACAAAATGATATATAAAAATAAATATAAAAAAATTAGGTATTGAAGGATAAATAGAATTTTGTTAACTAGAGTTGAGATATTCCAGGTAGAGTATCAGCAAAAATGAAGGCTTGGAGGCAGGTAAGCAGCTAGGCTTCTTCTGAAGCTGAAAAAGTAATACAGCAGCATTTTTTTAACTGGGCTTCATGGATTTAGCCTGAAGAGTTACAAGGTAAACCAAGATTTTTTTTGTTTGTTTTCCTTTTGGTTATAATAGTAAAAATTATTTACCAGCAATAATGTTATCAGGACATTTTTATTGATCACTATGTTGGTTTCTTAAATTGTTATTTATCAAACTGGGACTATTGGCTGTGACCTCAGAAACACTGAGAAATTTTTTTCCTTCTAAAATAGACCACAAATTACCAAGTTTGAGAGACAAGATTTGGTATAAGAATAGGATATAAAGAAATGAGTTTAATAAAGGTTAAGCTGATTATGAAGGGTCTTGTTGCCATCCAGTAGAATTGTATTTTCCTCATTGAACAGTTGGGATTCTCTTTTGTGTGTTATCAGGGCAGCAATAGGATCAGGCCTATGTTAGGTAAACTATGATTTGACATATGTGGGATTGATTGCATAGGACAGAGGGTGCTGGCAGGAATCCAGGAAAGATATAGTGAGAATCCAAGCTGGAGCCCTTCTTCTATTTATTTGTTAATTCATTTATAAGTTCATAAATTCAGTAAAAATTGACCAAGCTCTGACTGTACGCTAAGCTCTTTTCTGGACATAGGAAATAAAGCTTAGAACACAAAAGACAAACCCCTGCTGCGCGCAGTTTACATTTCAGTTGGGGATACTGGCAATATATATAGAAAAGTAAATATATAGGGCCTCCCTTGTTGCGCAAGGGGTTAATTCTCAGCACTATAAAGTAATCTAATTTGATCCCTGGCCAGGGAGCTAATCAGCGTGGCACAGCAGACCCCTCCTGTCTCACCCACTGCTCCCCTCAGCAGTGTATTTCTGTCAATTTGACTGTTCTGCTCCCCACTCTGTCTCTGGTGAATCCTCTTACACATCCCATCATCACCAGCTCTGACCTACACTCCAGCTCTTGTATGCATAAATAAACCTTTTTTTAAAAAAAGGTAAATATATAGTAGGCAGAAGGATTCGTAATGTCAGAGGAGGATGGTGATATTTCAGAAAGAATGGCAAACATACTGGGAAGATAACATTTTTGCATTAAAGAAGTCCCTGCAGGAATGAATAGATGTTGCATTAGATTATTTAGCAAACAAGCATTGGAGGCAGAGAGCGGCAAGTATAAAGGGTGGGGCAGAACAAGCATGCCGGGTGGAGAGGCTGGTATGGCTGGAGTGGAGGGAGGGACTTTATGGAAAGAGCGGTAGAAGATGAGACCAGAGCCTTTATAGGATAGGAGTGGGAGTGTGGATAATTTGACATTTTCTGAATAGGAAATCTTGATGATTTTATACAGAGAAGCATGGTCATAGGCTGCTTTGCTAATAATAGGGTGCAGTTGAAGGCCAAAGGTAGGAGTGAGAGACCAGATTAAGGATCATGTAACTTTTTTTTTCATATGTCTGTTGGCCATTTGCGTTTCCTCTTTGGAGAAATGTCTTTTAAGTTCTTCTGCCCATTTCTTGACTGAACTGTACACTTTGTTGAGTCAGATGAGTTCTTTGTATATCTTTATCATCAGTCCCTGAATTATAGACAAACTTTCACACCAAGGACTGTCGTTTCTATATTCAAATGTTTGTGAATTTTTTAATTTGATCAAAGTGTCTATTCTTTCTTAAGCGAAAACATTTGATAGTGGTGTAGGCCAAAGTGCCGGCTGGTGATAAGTGGTCAAACTAATTATAGCTAGAATGAAACAAGCAGAAGTCCAGAAAGATTCCTTGCCTTAGGAATAGAAAGGATAGCACAGATGTGAGAGAGAACATGAGAAAACAATGGGAGGAAATACAATTGAGGCTTTACTCTACCCTGAAGTTGTTGATTCCCGTCACAGACATAAGGGACACAGGAGGAAGAAGTAGATTTTAGGGACAAAGTATTGTTAAACAGAATTTTTCAGTTTCAAAATGAAAGTAGCAAAATCATGTAGGTTCCTGTAAAAGCTAGTCTTCGTTTCCTGTCCTTCTGACTGAGGTTTTAACAGATGAGTTTCATTATTGAGATAGTTTGATTTTTTTTCTAACATCCAATGAGTTTAAGCATCCACCGTTTTTAAGAACAAATTTCAGTATCAGCTCAAATTCAGCATCGCATTCATTTTAAATGCCTGTTAATGTTTTTGTTAGGGTTTCTTCGAGAAGTAGTGTAAGAAACAAGTAGCAAGTTATGAAGGAGTGTTAGCAAAAAAAAAGAAAAAAGAAATCATTCATTAAAATGAGGGTGTAAACTGATTTTTTTGATCCTTATGTTCCAGGGCTCCCCAAATCTGTTACAGGACAGGGGGAGAGGGTCACCCCTGAAGCCCCAAACCTGCCTGCTCGAAGTGGGTTCTGCCATCTGCCGCAACAAGACAAAACATATAAAACTTTAATGAAAAGGGACTTTAATGCAATGGATATACAATATGGAACACAAAGAATATAATTTCTAAATCAAACACCTGGAGTTACCCATCCCCTCTTGGGCAAAAGTCAACCCAAAAGGGATTGGCCCAAAGCAAGGCCTGAAAGCACCTTCTGGCCGGGACCCATGGAAAAGGGTCAGAAAAGGCCAGACAAATCTAGGAGGAAAAGAGCAAAATCAGAATCAATATAAACACTGCCATAGTCACCTCCCTACAGGTGTCTCACCCACATCTGTCTTAACTGTTACAGGGTCAGGAAACAAGCACGGTTTCTTCCTCACATGCTTGCTGCTCCATGTGGCTTCCTCAGGTCTCCTGCTTGTTTCCCATCCAGCTTCCTTCTTTTCTTCTCTCTTCTTCTCTCCTTTTTCTCTGCTCAGCTCCACCCTCCTTCTGTGTGGGGCAGGGAATCTAGAACTTCCCCTTTTCCTAGGGACCACCCTGTGACACTTATGTGTTCATCTGTAAAGAATGTAAGAACATTATCCCCTTTAAATGGGATTCATTCATTTTGTGTCATATAGTATTTCTTTTAAACACTATTATTAACAATGCCTTTGTAGCTGTTAAAATGAAAATGTTAGAATTGGAATATGTAGCTTTTTTTCATGTTCAGAGTTTATTTCAGCTTGGATGGCATATTATGGTAGCAATACTTATATTCGTGTCAAAATTGGGAGATGGGATTATAACGTAATTTCTTTCATTCTGTAAAACAAGCAGGGACTGTATCAGATCAGCTCAAGAGTCATGTTTTGTGTTATGTGGAATATATATTGTTGAATACATGTTCAGTCTCTTTTGAAATGCGTTTTTTATGCACTTGGC